GTGCACCGATGATTGGATTGGGAAGCGCCCCAGGCGCTGACCTGCCCTGGACCTCCCCACTGACGGCGCACAGGGTGCCGCGCCACCGTGCCTCCTGTTCCTCGCAGGCCTCGTGGCGCTGTACTCTGGGTACAACCAGCGCGTCGCCGACCGCTGCGCCCTACCGTGGTTTCCCCTTCCCCCTTCCTCCTGCACACCAGACCATGGGACCGTTAGTCCCTCCTCATCCCGCACCCATTGCGATATCGGCCGGGACTGCAAGTGCCCTGCAGCAGGCATCCGGCGGCACCTGGGCACGGCCGCCCACAGCGGGCGCGGGGGGCGGCCTGCGCGCGTCCCGAAAGGACACTGACACAGGGGTGCTGGGCTAAGCGCTAACGCACAGTTGCGTCGCACGGTCCGCTTGGCCACGGGCACTCTGCCCGGGCCGCCCCACCTGGCTCTGGCGCCGCGACGTCCTCCTCGAGTGCGGCCTGATCAGCGCCTTCGGCTGCCTGCCCTCCTCCCTCCCTCGCCCGGACCGCCTCCCGGGCCCTGGCATTGCGGCGTCCTCGTCGAGTTCGGCCTGGTCAACGTCTTCTGCGACTTGCCCTCCGCCTCCCTTCCCCTCCTTCACCTTATTATGAGACCGTTTGTCCCCTCTGGTTCCGCTGGGTCTCCCAGCTCAGCACGGGCCGCGCTCAGCTGCTGGTGCGGGGCTGCTCTGGCGACCGTTTGCCCGCTGAGCCGGCCCTTTTCCTCCCTGCCCGCCCCCCCCCCCCCGCTCGCTGCCCCCCCTCCCATGGCAGTGCCCTGCGCAGCGCGGCTTCGGCCCGGGGCCTGGCGCTCGCACCTTGCCGCCTCGGCGGCCCCGCGGCCCCTGGCGCCGCGCGGCTTCGGCCCGGCCCTTGGCACCGCGGAGCGGCAGCGCAACGTGCGCGGCTCCAGCCCATTCCCACGCGCTTGCCACTGCGGGGGCGGCGTCCTCCCTGCAGCACACCAACACCCTGTCGGTCCTGGGCGGCATGTTAACGGTTTCGCCTGGCAGCCGCGCCTCAGACTGCGGCTCTTTTTGTTGTGCGTGGCACCCAGCATTACCACGGCCTGGGCCTCTTCTGCATCCTGATCGGTGGCACAACGTTGCACTCCAGCCCAGCGGTGCTCCTCATCCTCTCGGGCGTCGCCCTGGACGCGTGGCGCGTCTTCTCCCGCAGTTGATGGGGCTGGTGTGCACGAATCGCCGCTGACGGCACCACCGCCAGCTTTTTGCCTCCCGGCACTCCGCCTTCGTGTTCCTGATCAAGGCGTTCTTTTGCATGCACTTCGAATTCGGCACTGCCTGATCCCGGGGTTTTGCCTTTTCATTGCCTTGACGTGAGGCCCCTCCTTCTGTTGTCCTTCTTCTGTTAATTAAAGCTGCGCGCGGCCCGCTTAGCTTCGACCGGAAGAGGCTCGCTTTCGACCCGCGGATCAAACAGTACCTGTTTTGCGTCAAGTTTGGTTTGCCTCCGAACATGTTGCGTTTACGTGATCGATCGTTGAAATATCTTGGTTTCTCACCGGTGACCGCCGAAGACCGCCGAACACTGCGTCGGGCCGCCGTCCAGACTGCCGGAGAACTGCCGAAGACCGCCGAATGACCAACGACCCCCCCCCCGAAGACATCCGAAAAACCGCCGAAGACCGCCGAAAACCGATGAAAGACCGCCGCACGACCGCCGAACACCGCCGAAAACATTGAAAACCTCATAAAGACCGCCGACAAACCGTCGAAAAACCGCCGAAGCCCGCCGAAGATTGTGTCGGACCCCAACGCCCGTGGCGGGGCGCGCGCCCGCTGGCGGTTTTCGGTGGTATTTCGGTGGTTTTCACATGCCAAGGTGTGTGGCGAGGGGTCCATGATCGAACGCGTAATTGCGCTCTGCCGTGCTTTTTCTACGCCGTGCTACGCCGTGCTCTACCTTGCATATCGTACCCTCTCGGGGTCGTTGCCCTGCTCGACATCCGACCGTGCGCATAGACACGATATCTACGACATGGTAAGGGATGGGGTAAAACATCAAATAAGACGCTTGCTCACCTAGCTTGCCTTCTCCTCCTCTTCCGCCCTCCTCTTCCTCTTCCTCCTCCCGCCGATCGTCTTCGTGAGAGGGGAGACCCTCGGGGGCACGGCGCCTCCGCACCGCCCTCCTTCACCCCATCCCTCAGAGGTGTCCGACTACGGCCCTTTCGAGTTTGAGTAGTCACGCTCTTTCTGTATCCCTGCCTGAGTTGTCGTGCGGCGTCGCTCACCGCCTGCCTGTGAACCGAAACGATATGTTGTTGTGATTGATTCGAGCATAAGGCTACGGAAGCCTTTTGCTCTGAATTCTGAGAAACGTGTTATCCCATATTGTCGGTTTGTTTCTTCTGCGCTGCGCTGGCATGCTGATAATTGCGTAGTATTCACCATTCCTGCAGGCAGCCCCCGCGCCTCGCACCAGCGTTGTAGCTTCACGTGTGCGCACCTGCCTGCATCGCCGCTAGGGGATAGGATTGTAAGAGAGCCAGTCCTGCGATTGGCTGCCATACGCTGTACACATTTTGCCTTTTTGATTGGCTTGACAAGTCGTCCCATTCGTCATTCGTCGACTAACATGATCGACCCACGAACCCGGAAAGGAATATAGAACTGTAACACATGGCAGCGTTTTCAAAGACACCTGACTGGGTGACGGGCAAATGCAATGCTGAGTGTATCGATCTTGATGTACCCTGCCGAGGGCTGTGCTGTGCTGCACCGTGCTGAATTGCGATGTGCCATGGCGCGATTGTGCTCTATAGCGTCGTGGATCGAGTCCTCCTTTGCATCCGAGTCCTGACCGAACGGATCTGGATCTTAAGCTCGAGCTGCCTGAACACATAGTAGCTGCCCCACAGCTAATTGACAGGGGAACATGCCAGGAGGACGCGCCGCGAAAAGTCCCAAGGGATGCGCCAGGCGACGTGCCAGGGGACGTGCCATGGGGACGCACCGCGGGACGTGCCAAGGGGACGCGCTACGAAACGTGCCAATGGATGTGCCACGGGATGTGCCAGGGGACGCGCCGCGCGTCGTTCCAGGTGGATTCGCCAAGGGACGCCCCACGGAACGTGCCAAGGGACGTGCCAAGTTGCAATGCTGAGTGTATCGATCTTGATGTACCGTGCCGAAATCTGTGCTGTGCTGCGCCGTGCTGAATTGCGATGTGTGTCATGCCTCGATTGTGCTCTATAGCGTCGTGGATCGAGTCCTCCTTTGCATCCGAGTCCTGACCGAACTGATCTGGATCTTAAGCTCGAGCTGCCTCAGCACATAGTAGCTGCCCCAGAGTTAAATGACAGGGGGACATGCCAGGAGGACGCGACGCGGAACGTCTCAAGGGGCCCGCCAAGCGACGTGCCAAGGGACGTGCCATGGGGGCTCACAGCGGGACGTGCCAAGGGGACGCGCTACGGAACGTGCTGGGGACAAGCGTTTCGCTCGAGACATCCTGCCGACATCCTCAGAATTCCTCCGCGCGGGACGCGGCACGCGCGAGACATCCTCGAAATTCCTGCGAGCGGGACGTGAAAACAAACATTTCGCCTGAGACATCCTCTGAATTCTGGACCCCCACGAGGCTCCCCACGAGGCCCCCGCTCGAGACATCCCCCAATTTTGCAAAACCAGCGTTTCGCTCGAGACATCCTAACACATGTTGAAACAACAAGCGTTTCGCTAGAGACATCCGGTCAAAATCCAAAGAAATCTTGGCAAAACAAGCGAATTAGTCGACACATCCTCAAAATCCCTGCGCGCGGGACGCGGCACGCGCGAGACATCCTTGGAATTCCTGCGAGCGGGGCGCTTTTCCGCGTCGCGGTCAGCTCTGCAAAACCAGCGTTTCGCTCGAGACATCCTCAACAAATTCTGAAAACGAGCGTTTCGCTCGAGACATCCCCAACTATGCAAAACCAACGTTTCGCTCGAGACATCCTCAACAAAGTCTGAAAAACAAGCGTTTCGCTAGGGACATCCTCAAAAATAATTCCGCCGGCCCTACTCCCGCACGTAATTTATCGCAGAATGATTTCGCCGGCCCATCAGCCGTCAGATCCGGGGGTAAACCTCTAAAAGAGAACCCTGGGCTCGAGCCCTTTCCTCCTCCTCCTTTTCTCCTCCTCCTCCCTCCTCCCGCCTCGCTCTTCCTCCTGGTGCTGCTGCTGCTCTCCCTTAGTGTTCCTCCACGTCTTCCGCACTGTTGTTTCTAGCGCTTCGCGCCGTCCACCTCCCTCCCGTTTCTGTGCGTTGGGCCGCCTGGGACCAGCGTGGCGGAATGGAGGGCTTCGGCAGGTGGAGCGGCGGCGGGCCTCCCTTCGCTGGGGAGGGTGGCGGTCGAAACATGCAGTACGGGGCGCTCTCGGTAATCTCTGCGGGGGCGCCGCTTTACGTTATGCGTCCCCCGCCCCGCTCCCCCTCCCCTCCATAACGCCCGTTATCGGCGCGAGTAAAAACATACATTCTTGTCGTTCCTCCTCGACGCGTGATGAGCTCTAGTCATTCTATATGCCCCTGGGGCGGAGGCCTCCTCCCTTGGAGTTGGCCAGCGGATGGTGAGCAGTAGGACGCTGGTAGTACGAATGACGACCATGGTGCCAGTGGGAAGAGCCAGGCCGCGCGTGCGCAGCTAGGAACACCGTACGTAAGCGGAGCCCCCTTCACTCTGACAGCCTCTCAGATGTTCATCGGCGGCGCGCCCAGGTGGGAAGGCAAAGGCGGCGGCTCTTCCCAGAAGACACCCGAGGCTTCCGGACTTTATAGCAGGCTTTCCAAGCCTTCTCCGAGGTCGCAGACAGTCAGAGGCCCGCCCCTTTTCATTTAGGGTGCGCCGTCGAGTTTTGCCTGGCACGATGACCAGTGCAATGTGGATCATACCAGCACGTGCAGTTCTAGACATGTACAGATCTTTGGTTCAGCTCGCCAGCTTGCTGTCTCGAGTTTAGAAGCATTTGCGCCCCAGGAGGACAACGGAATCTACATGAACAATTGCGCAGTGCTTGACCAACATTTCGCGTGGTTTACGCTCCTCTCAGCCCCTTCTGCCTTGAATCGCATTGCAGTTCTCCTCCTCTCGCCTGATCCCTCTCCTAAGCTCTCTTTCATTCCATCCCTTTTTAGCCTCTTCCCGTCATCCGTATAGGAGCGTAACTGCTCGCAGCACCGGTTTTTCATCATTAGTGAAGAGGTGAGGTTGGGGGCGATGACAGGATGTGCACCGTGTTTCGCTCAAGCCGACATATTGTCGTGCTGCACATGTTGAAGTTTCGGGTCTTCAGGTTTCCGGACGTATTCATCGATAGCCCAGTTTCGAAAAGGAATGATTTTCCATTGTGGTACTTTTTGAATTCTTCTAAAATGAGTGAGTGTACGCGGCGAAAAGACGAGAGCCCCATGTTGAAAAGGAACCCTTCATCCATCCTTTACCCGGTCGCAGACATAAGAGACGATGTTCCGCGGCGCTAATGGGAGAGCTTGGTGTTGAAGATTATCTGTGTTCCATCTTTGTATTTGCTGCAACTGTTCAACACGAGTCTGCGCGGCGCCGAGGCGGGAGCTTCATTTTGAAAACGACCCACCTCCATCTGTGCATTTGTCGAGGAGGCACTGGGAATGCCCAGGAGGCCGAGAGAAACCCTGGCATGCTCCTGGAAGGCCGCGGGAGGCTTCAGGAAACCCGAGGAGGCTTCAGGACGGCCCAGGGAGTCCCGCAAAGCCGACTGGGGCCAGGAGTCCAAAGGAGGTTTCAGGAGGCCCTGACTCACTCTCAGACTCACTCGCACTCACGTCCGCTCAGATTGTAAGGCTGGCCGCGGATATCACCTCGCTAGACGACGCTGTTCCGCGACCGTCTTGGTTTGGCAAACGCCTTTCGATCCATCCGATCATTGAGATATAGTGATGAGAAGGCAGCGCGACATCCGACCAGGTTCAACATCGACGTCACGCAGAATCACTGATACAGCTCCTGTCATTATTGCTCTCAGTCACACTGATACCCCATGTATGCTCAACTGCTCATATTCAGATGCACGTGCACGCTGATCCACTTATTTCTGGACCCGCTGATATGCAGACCCATTCATATTCAGTAGCTCATACTCGGTCTCACTAATGCTCAGCTTCGCTCAACATCTGACTCACTCATGCCCAACTCTCATGCACACATGCACTCGCACCCGGACTCATTCATACTTAGGGTTTTGTCCAAGCCCACGCATATTCAGACCCGCTCGTATTCAGATCGAGACGAACTCTGACTCGTTCGTTCCCAATCGCTCTGCTCAGGTTCGTCGTGGCTCGAACTCACCCATCCTGTCTCATATCTATGTCTGCTCACACGCAGACTTGCTGCGCATAGGGGAGTCTCCGCGTCGAGCGAGTCTTATTGAATCGCTTCGCTCATTCCGCTGGACCAGGTTGTATCACTAATGCCATATGTTGCGTGCTCGCGGCGAGCGAGAAGGAAGAGAAGGAGGATGAGGTGGAGGGAGGGGAGGCGGAAGAGGACAGGATGAGGATGAGGCCTCTCGATGACTTCTTGGAGCACTCTTGGGGCCAAACTGGTCGTGGATGAGACGGCGCTTCTGGAGACTTTTTGGGGTCTCTTTGGAGGCCTCTCAGCGGCATCGTCGCGGTATATTCGGTACCCCGTGGGTCTTTCTGGGGTGTTTTGGGGTTCTTTTGGAGATGTCTTTTGCGCCTCCCGGGGCTTCTTGGGGTTTCTCAGTGTCTTGCTGGCGGTCTCGGGGGGCATCTTTGGGGGAAAGGGTTCGACATGTCAGATCGTATTCCCTCTCTCGGGGTCCTCTTGGGAGCTTGAGGCCTCTCGGGGTTGTTTTCGGGCCATCTTGAGGCCTGTCACCTGTAGATCCCGACTCTTGGGCCCTCTTGAAGCTCCCTTGGGGCCCCTTAGGCTCCCTTGGAGCGCTCCCGGGGCGATCTTGAGGGCCCCGAAGACCGCCCCCGGGCGTTTCGGCATCTGTGGCCCCCACCTGCCTGGGACCTTGCCGGGGTACTTCTCTTTCCAGGACCCCCAGAGGCCGCCACGGGCGCGCGAAGTAGATGTTCAAGTCACATGGTACACGCCTCTGGCCCGTGGGGCCAGCGAATTGTTCTCTTCAACCTCGACTACTAGGTACTCGCTCGCTTGTAGCAGCCGGTTCCTCGAAGAATATGCGATCATCATCAACCATCAACGCAACGTAATAGGCAGAACACCAGGCTCCCCTTTCACTCCTCCCCCTCCTCTCTTCCCTACCTCCTCCCTCCTCCGTCCCCCTCTTTCCCCACCTCCACCATTTCCTTCACCTCCTCCAGAAGGGATGGGGGAGGGGAGGGGAGGAGCGAGAGGGGCAGGGAGAGGGGGGGAGGAGCAAGCTAGGTGCGCTCGCGTCATATATGCCGTCCCACCCCTCCCTCCCATCCCCTACCATGGCGTAGATCTCCTTTCTATTCGTTTACACCTTAACCCTATACTCAGAGCCAGTCTGGGGGAGGGGTTGAAAACCCTTGAGGGGGGTAGGCGGAGCAGAGCCCGAGAGGGCTGGCAGGAATACTGCAACAACAACTGATCGATGCTGACGAGACGATATTTGCACCAGGGCGCGGGCTGAGGGGGTATTCAACCCCAGAATTCTTCAAGAAAAAGAACGCAGCACGAGCTGGCTGCATGAGCACAGCATCAGACCGAGGCCAGCTACCTGAGCCTTCGACCTAGGTCACAAACCACAAAACTTTTTCGACCCCTCCCCAAAGGGAGGGTGCGGTGGGGCCGACTTGAGCCCAGAGGGGCAGAGGGGGACGGAGGGGGAAAGGGCGGCTAACAGACTACGACGGGTAGTGTAAAATAAAGTTCAAGAACAACTATTTACACCTTAACCCTATACTCAGAGCCAGTCTGGGGGAGGGGTTGAAAACCCTTGAGGGGGGTAGGCGGAGCAGAGCCCGAGAGGGCTGGCAGGAATACTGCAACAACAACTGATCGATGCTGACGAGACGATATTTGCACCAGGGCGCGGGCTGAGGGGGTATTCAACCCCAGAATTCTTCAAGAAAAAGAACGCAGCACGAGCTGGCTGCATGAGCACAGCATCAGACCGAGGCCAGCTACCTGAGCCTTCGACCTAGGTCACAAACCACAAAACTTTTCGACCCCTCCCAGCCGACCCGACTGGGCCACTGGCCAAAGGCCTTCAAGAGAAAAAATGCCGAGCACGGGCGACACGGGCGGGTGGGAGAGCGAGGCAGAGAAAACCTTAACTTGCTTTGTTCAAAACCTCACGGCCTCCCCCCAAGGACCCCCTCTCCAGACTTGGCTCGATATTCATTCGGTGGGGAGAGGGAGCTGGCCTACGTCGATCCATACATTACGACAGGCACCTCACGGCCACGGGCGCTCGCGAGCGCACCGACGATGCGCCTGCCGAGCGGCGTCCCAGCGCCTGGCCCTCTCACGACGGCGTCGTGCACCGCCTGACGCGGGCGGCGCCAGAACGCACAGCCCTGCTTGATCTGCATGCCGTCTAGCTCACTGAGCTTCTCCACCAGCGCGTGGCACTTGGTGTAGCGCTGGAGGCCAGCGGTGGAAGCCCAGCGGCCCCGCCTACGCGCCGCCTCCAGGTCGCCGCTCAGCGCCACGAAGCGGGCTGCCGCAGCGTGGCGCACGCCGTGCGGTGGCCCCATGGTCTCCAGGCCCACCGCCTTCAGCGTCTTCATCCAGACCTTGCGGAAGCTCGGCTGGGTGAAGGGGAAGACCTGGCCATCAGGCTCCCGATCCTGGACCAGCACCTTCATCAAGAGCTTCGACAGCGGCCACTCCAGCACGGCGCCCTGGTTGGAGCCCGTCTTGGTCTTCTGTCCCATCATGCGGTCGCCGAGCTTGAGGCCCACGCCGCCGTCGGGCGTGAAGCTGACGTGCTTGGCCCGCAGCATCTCCAAGTCCTGCTCCCGAAGCCACCCGTCCAACTGCACGATGCAGGCACTCGCCTCCAGCAGGTGCCCCATCTCCAGCATCCTCGTGATGATCACCCCCATCGCCTGGAACGGGATCGGGTGGCCCTCACCTCCGAACTGCATGCGTTCCCACGACTTCAGCGCACGATGCGCCGTTGGGGGCCTCCCTCGACGATCCTCGAATATGTGCATGAAGCCATTGAGCGCGAGGGAGGCCTTCATGTAGTTGTCGCCCCTCGGGTAGCAGAGGTCACTGATGTAGTTCCCCAGCGCGCGGTCCCTCTGCTCCAAGGTCGTGAACGGCACCTCCCCGCGCTTGCAGTCAACGGGGAAGGCCCTGATCTCCCGCTCGTAGACGACGTTGGTGGAGTCGTCGACGGCGTGGACCACCAACCTGTTGTTCCACCGAGGGCGGTCCTGCTTTGCCTGCTGCCAGGCGCGTGCGCCGCGCTTCTGCAGCGGCGGTGCAGACGCCCCCCTCCGAGCACCGTTGGCCACGTGCAGCGCTACCACCAGCGCGACCCAGAGGGACAGCCTGCCGCCGTTCCTCGCAGCCGAACCAGCTTCGCCGCCCGCGGCGGCCCAGCGTGATGCCCTGCAGCTTCTTCTCGCAGTCGCCGTCGCTCCCGATGTGGCAGCAGTAGCAACCCACGTCGCCGAGGTAGACGCCCAAAACCGCCACGTTCTCGCTTGGGAGGCCGATGCCTCCCTGCTGAGAAGGTAGTCGAGCCCCAGACGTACCGCCAAGGTCCCGCGGGTCACCGCCGCCGCTCCAGCACCTGCAGCAGCGGCCGCACCGCCTTGGGCGTCGTCCTCATCCTGTGCGCCTGCTTGGTCTCGTCCGCTGCGCCGATGTCGACACCTCTGCTCGGGCCGCCCGCCATGTTCCACTGGCTGGGCACCCACCGGTAGTAACCCCTGATGCTCAACGCCAGCGCGATGCCACATGCCACTCGTGCCAACCTCAGAAGCGACGTCGCTGATGAGCGACCCTCCTGCAGCACGCCCATGGAGACAACAGGGTCCGTCATGATCA